ATAAATTTAAATGTAATTTAGTTTAACAGTTAAGGATATATTATGGGTGCTGCTGTTGTTACTGTAAAGTAGCTGCAATTTTACTTCTTTTTATGTGCATTTTTAATTTGTGCCCACAAAAAAAGAGGTGAAAAGGCAAGGTTTCCATAAAATCTAAAAGCACACAGTGGATTACACTAACCATAAACTTTAGAAACGATGCAAGTGTTTGAAATGTGTCACAACCAGTTACACACTATGGAAACTGTTGTACTGGCAGAGCAGGGCATCACGAGTGTGCAGCCAAAGTTGCAAAGGGGTTACAAGCAAGAGCAGACGTCTTTACTGCTCCTCTTGTCTGTTCTACGATTTTTCACATCTTCTACACTTTCAAGTCTTTGAACAAATTCTACAACTATTAAAATGCCTCCAAGAGGGAAAAGAGCTAATAAATCAGAAGCGAATGAGGATATGGAGGCAGAAGAAGAGTATCACAGAGCGGTGCAAATAACAGACATTCTGGATCAGCAGAAACAGATGTACATCGCGCTGATGAACCAACAGCAGGAAAACTTCAAAGGCTTCGTGCAACTAATTATGGAGACAAACAACAAGAGACTTGATGACGTGACCAGAGAAATACAGGAGATAAAAACGAGTTTGCAGTTTACCCAGCGAGAGGTGGATGCGATTAAAGCAGCCATGGGTGAACAGAAAATACAAACCAAGGAAACAAGGGATGATGTCTACAAAACCTGTGAGAGTTTAATAGCTATAACGGATAAAATGGAGTATTTGGAAGTACAGTCCAAGCGAAAAACTTGATCTTTGAGGGAATCAAGGAGACAGCTGGAGAAAGCTGGACGGAAGCGGAATGAAAAGTGAAGGAGATCCTAAAGAATAAACTGCAAATTCATCAAGAAATTGAGATGGAGCGGGCTCACAGAGTCGGGAAACCTTCTGATTGTGGTCCGAGGGCAGTGATGGTAAAGTTGATGAAAGAGAAAGATAAGGCACACATACTGCAACAAGCAAAGAAGCTTAAAGGATCTAATATTTATATAAATGAAGATTACACCGAGTCTGTGAGGAAGAGAAGAAGGGAGTTGATGCCGATGTTAAGGGAGGCCAGGGCGAGGGGAGACATCGCGTTCCTGCGGTATGACCGACTAGTGACCCGACCTCGGAACCAGAATCCAGGACCCATGACCAGCACGCCGAGGAC